GCTGTGAAAATGACAATAGCTTACCTTCATAAAATCTGGGGAAAAATGCCATATAAATGGCAACTTGAGCTCAGACAACCCATTCAATAAAACCCTGCAAACTCTAACTTGAAAAAACTTTAATAAAATAAAATAGAATTGTGATATGAATATTTCCCCACAGTCATCATAAATTACAACACATTTTCTTAATAGCTTTAAATTATGCTAAAAGGATTGGAGGCTCTCCTTCATCCACTGTTTGCTGGGCAGAGCTAACAACCCAAGATGTGGCAAGTCTGGTGTTTCCCTGCTGATGATTACACACAGCTAGTATATACATACTGATAAGCCAGCTAGCTGCTGCCTCTGGGAGTGCAAAAGAGGAAACTAAAGTATTGATTTTTGGCATTAAATGGGGGTATTGATTTGTGTTTCTTTCCTCTACACAGCCACAGATATCCAAGAAACCTGCAGAAGTGTATTTTCTTTAAAAAGTCTTCACCTCCCCAGATCTGATTGAAACTGACTGGCAGATTCAGAAGTTAAAGGAAAAGGCATTGGCAATGTGATTTCTTAGATTCTTAAGGATTAAAAATATACTTTTTATGGTGTAGGTCGCTTGCAGAAAAATATGCATTTGTAGTACAATTACTCACAAAAGGAAAATGCATCCAAACAAGGTCCCCCCCGGCAAATTCTCTGTTCACAGACATGAATAGTTTGATTAGCAAAAGGAATCTCAACATTCTGGTGCACTGGTAGAAGTGCCTCTCAGTTGATCACAAGAGCTACATAAGCCAGTGTAATGCCAGCAAGACTGAAGTAAAATTTGCAAAATTTAAGGATGTAAATTACAATTATCATCTCTGTATCAAAGAAACCTTTGAATATTTTCACTCAAAAGTTTCTATATTGAAGAAAAATACCCAAGATAAAATTAAAGCTCCCTTTTCCTATAACTAAAAGGTTTTCTTATAAAAAAGTACTAATAAGTTTTCTTATTAAAAAGAGGCTGTAGCAGTACATCAATGTGTCTTACCTTTAGGTCTTCTGCTATCTTCCAGTAGCAGTGAAGAATCTTCTTGTGCTGCAGCTTCTCTAGGATAATCCTTCAGAACAAGGAGAGCAGAAAGGCATACATCAAAGCCTCCGGTATCAGTGGCCAAAATCTTAGAAGCAGATGGTATTGCTGAATACACAAATGTAAGCATCTCCACACACTAACACAAGGTCTCAGAACAAAACATGTCAAGATCTCTACCACAGAATCATCTGGATCGTAGTCAAGAACTCACATGACATTTTAGGGACAAACTCCCTAGAAATACAATTAAAATTATAAGTATATTCTAAGTGCTGATTAAGTGTACTTTCCTCCTTTATGGCCAAAGAAGTAGTAGCTAAACTACATGTGTTTAAGTTTATACAAGTTGCTAATCTCAAACAGTTCAGGATTACCCACACACACAGAATTAAGCACTCATAACACTGACTGTGGAACTGAAGAGACAGAGCTGTATTTTCCTGAAGTGGAATCCATGAATAATCAAAGTCTACAAAGGAGTCATAAAGGCAAGTTAGGAAAGTAAAAAATCTCTTACTTAACCTTATTTGATGGTGGAGTACTCCACCATCCTTTTGAGACTTTTGTTCAGCTCACTAGGTCTGCTTTGAGCCATGCAGAGACATTGTTGCAATCCCTTCACAGCATAGGTTAATTTTACCCTCATGCATCCTTATCACCATATGGATGCCCTAGAGACAAGTTTTCACTCTATGTAAGGCACAACAAACAAATCAAAGCCATTTAATTGTAAGTATTAAGGAGTTCCATATAAACTAATGTCCATTTCATTATCTATGATATGAAGAGAAAAAAAAATACAAAAAGTTTTAGGTTTTTTAACAAATGTTGTGCCATGTGTAACTGCCTTTTCAAAGGAAGAATTACACTAAAATGTAAAAACAAGCTTTGGTATTAATTATGCAACAGGTAGCAGTACAGTAAACAAAGCCCCTACAAACACTTCAGCATTAATATCACATTAGAAGCAACTCAAAGAGGAAAGCAGCTGCACAGTTACTGTGCAGAAGCTGAGCCAAAGATTTGCTATGCTTTTACAGAAGCTACAACTTCTTGAGAAAAATGCTGTCCTCTTAGTCTGGAATTGCGGGAAACAACAGTAACTTTTCTTACCATCTGTGATAAAAACATGGGCTCTGCGGAATCTTCTACTGAAAGCAGACGTTCTGGATGTCCTTTAGTACTCGGGACTCCTAAAATAAAAGCAGTTTTACTGTGGTCATAATGATTTGTTACGCATTTTCAGTATACCTTGACTAAGTCAAATCTCAACATTTCTTCTGCCTGTATTTTTGAATATCTAAACATAATGACTTTCATAACACAAATGACCGTAGCCATTAAGACAAAGCTTAAAAACGTTAATGAATTCTGTGAGCCTGGATTATAGACTTGTTTTACAATGTATGACAAAGTCACTGAAAAGAAGAGCATCTAACAAAATCCACAATGTCTAGCTCAAATTCAAGTCTAAAGATCATAGGAACATAGAAAGTTACTTGTCTAGAGAAACAATTATAATTCTATGATAATGTATCTTACAGAAGAAGGACACTGAGGAAAGTACACAGTTATGTCAGATTCAAATATGTCTTCCTAACACTATAAAAAATAACATCTTTTGAAGCTGTTTGAACCTTGAACCCCAAAGGACTAAAATCCCTTCCCAAAACTCCAAGGACTGTAATTGATATGTATTTCAAAGAAACAAAATTAATATTCTGACTAGATAAATGGCACAGACTGTGTCAGTTTTGAATTTGAAGAGTACATAGTACATCACTACAGTTTCATTCCATTAAAAAAAGACTTAGAATTATTTACTTAATACTACTATAAATAGTTTTTTTAAAAAGTTACAGAAAAGGATTGTCCTAGTTTCAGCTGGGATAGAGTTAACTGTCTTCCTAGTAGCTGGTACGGTGCATTCGTACAGGCAGTTGACCAGCATATGTTGTTTGTGTCAAGCAGGTGGGGTTTAGGAGGGGTAGGGTTGGTTGGTTTGTTTGTTTTCCAAGACTACAAGGGAAAAAAAATAATTTTAACAAGTAAAATTTAAAGTTATGGTAGATAGCAGGGATACTTGTTTTTTTTTCCTAAGAGTTTTTTGATAGTTGTTTAACTGACCAGCTCTGAAACACATATTGTTTCATAAAACCTGCAAAATCTCTGCAAATTAAAAAAAGACTAGAGCTGAATTGACTTTCTCAGAATGCCTACTTCCAACATTTAATATTTATTACCTTTGAAATGTCCAATGAACACTTCTTTAAAAAGGCAAGCTTGTACAGCTAGAGCTTGAACATCGACTAGATCAAGCTCTCCAGAAAAAAATCACCTTTAAAGAGCAGAGAAAGAGAAGTGTTCAAAAGACTTTTGATCTCTCTTCCCATATAAAACGACAAAATAATTCACAAAATTCCATGAAAACGCAAATGTCAGACAGCAAAGAAGGCCCAAATATTGGGACTACTCAGAGCTGTCTGTTGGCAGGAGCAATATTCTGTTAGGCACAGATTTGCCTGCTGACTATTCTTTGGGCATAAAATTGAAAAGGTACATATGGTGCCTAAAAGGATGAGCTACAAACTGCATTAAGAACTGTGACTGGAAAGGCATCAATCCTGTTAACTTTCTGCTTTAGGGATGCTGCGTAAAACCTTCCTGCCTAGTATATTTGTGAAATGTCACTACGACAGCCATGATTTTTCTGATAAAGATGACAACTGCCTAATTTAATTGGAATAGGAATCTGGAGTCAAGTCTGGAGTTCTGTTAACGGAGCTCCGACTGACCACCTCACCCTGCACGACTCGCTTTTCCTGTGCGAAACGAAGTCTGGGAAAACAAACAAACAAACACAGCTTTTGAAAGAGCGCCGATATCTGCGGTACCCGAACACACAAATGATTTCCTTAATTATAAAGACTACTACGTGACTGAAAACGCCGCACAGCCGTTTTGACCTCAAACCGAAGCTGAACACTGACGGTAAACCACGCACCGGGTGCCGCGCTGCATGAGGGGCTGGGGGTCACTGTCCCGCAGGGAGCCCCGTTGGCCAACAAGGCTGGAGGAAGGCAGGGTGTTCCGTCTCCAGCCCAAGCTGCCCGGCAGGGAGAAACCACTTCACGAAGCTTCTCCACAGCGATCGTCACTTTTTTCGTACGGCCACCGGCTCCTCTCACAGCCTCGATGGGCTTCTTCTCCCTGTGGACACCGGTGGAACGGATGAGCACGTCGCCCGCCGTGAGACTGGCCAGGGAGTCTTGGCTGAGGCTGGAGCTGCTTCCCGCTTCCATGAGGATCTCCTCACGCAGCTCTGGAAGAGAGTCCAAAAGCAGCAGCCTGACAAAGAGGCCGTCCCCGCGGGCCGGGCCCCCGCCGCCTTGCCCCCGCGTAGGGAAAGCGGCCTGAAGCCTCCGTGGGACGGTTTAGCCTCCGTGGGACGGTTTAGCCTCCGCGTCCCGGGCACGCCTGCCCTCCCCGGTGGCCTGAGGGACAGAGAGCCCCGCCGCGGCCCAGCCCGCTCCCCTCACCAGAAGCGCCCGCCGCCATAGCAACGGCGCCCGCCCGCGCCCCCCTCACGCCTGCGCGGGGTCCGCTCCTCAACAGCGTCCGGAGGGAAACTCGGAGCCCGAACCCCGCCCGCTTCCCGGTAGAGCGCTGTCGCTTCGGGGGAAGGAGAGTAAAGCCGTCGGTAAGTCCGCGTACCGCCGATTCGCCGTGTGACGAATCGGCGGGGCTGGTAAGGCCTGCTGCGGCCCGGCTCTTCCCCTTCCCGCGCGGTCCGGGCCCTGCGGCGGTGAGGTGCGGCGTTCGCGGGGCCGGGGGGCCGGGGAGCGGGGTGGGCCGTTAGCGGGAGAGGCGCCGCGGTGGACGGCGGCCCTGTGCAGGGCGGGAGGGCGAAAAAGGTCGTAGGGATGAAGGAAAAAACTGTCCGTTTTCGGGTGTTTTCTCGCTGCCCGGGGCGTCTCGTCCTCGGTTCGGGGTGGAGGGGAAAGGGCAGCGCTCGTGTAGCCGCACCGGCGTGTTGGGCTGGGGCTTGGCTGAGCGGGCGTCTCCTTAGGTAGAGAAACTCAAGGTGCCCTTGAAAGCAAGAACCGAAGGATGGAGTTAAAAAAAAAAAAAGAAAAATCAAGGTGAAATTATCTTATCTCAGCTCAGGATTTGATCTGACTGGGTCAGAAGTATCAGCCAGGCCTAATCTAACTTAAATAGGAGAGCGCTTATGGAAAAACACGTATTTTCTCCCAGGACAGACACCCTTGTGCCTTAAGCTCGCTCTGATTTCAGACTTACTGTGTTAACTCGCCTTTGGCGTTCGGAGACTTCTTCTACCATTGACCTTTTTCTCTTCAGACCAGGGTCTAGCCCACAAGTACACGATCATCAGTTATAACAATCTGTGCACCAGGTACATCTCATTATCCACCCATCTCCTGACCAGCCCCTCTCATCTTGCCACGTGCCTCTGAAGGCTGACCGTAGTGTGCGGAGCGAGAAGAAAACCTTCCTGTAACCGCACAACAAGCACCAGTTTGAAGGAAAGCGGCCGGACCCGCTCTGGCTGTGGGGGAGAGCTGGGCTCTCTGCCTTCCCGGCAGGAGGGGACGCAGCAGGGCCGTCACCGGTGCCTTGCTGGGCTGGTGCAGGAGACGGAGGGTGGGTTGCTCAGGCGTACAGCACTGGGAGTTCAGTGTTAAATTGCCTCTTGCCCTGAATTTATTGTGATTAGTTGAGCAGCCTGCTGGTTTCATAGGCATTTGTAGTTTGATTAGCTTCAGTAATAGAGCTCTTTAAATCAGTGAGGGTTTTTTTTTAATCTGATGTCAATCAAGTTCCAGCCTAGTAATTCCCAACGATAAAAAAAACTTTCTCTACAAGCTGTGGGTGCTTTATCTTGACACATTTCCTTGACTTGATATTTTTATTCTTCTTTGTCCTTTTTACGCACATGCAGAAACACTTGCATGGTGTTCTGTGTGTACAATTGGAAGCAAAGGTTTAAAAAAAAATTGTAGCCCTCTACGTATAGAGTACTTGTACCTACACCTAATTCACATTGTTAATTGGGATAAGTGTGGTGGATTTATGGTGTCTCTCCACAGCCCTTCTCCCCCAGTAAGATGTAGCTCCTCACAAAAAGTTTGAAAAAAACCAAAACATGGGGCTTGTTTAGTTTCCATGGGGAAGGATACTGTTGACTCAAGATTAGGTAATAGACACTGATGCTGATTACATCAGTGGAAAAAAAAACCAACTTTCTCACTGTAGTTTACAGTGCATGCTTCACCTGTAAGAACTCCAGGCTGTTAAATGGAGGCAGGCTTTTTCAGCCACCCACCAGTACAGTAATAACAATCAAAAGCTCTGTTCCAGTTATTAGTGCTTAGGAGTTACATTCATGAGCTCTCTGCTTATGAAGGTCTGGAGAGCATAGAATGGTTTGGCTTGGAAGGGACCTTAAAGATCACCTATTTCCAACCCCCCTGC